TCGGGGTCGTGGGTATGGTTGCGGTGGAGGATGGGGCGGTGGGGCTGTGAGAGCCATTGGTTGGAGGCCTGGGAGGTGGTGGAGTCGGAGGCGGTGACGTGGAGGTTGAGGAAATTGGAAGCCCCGCCGCCGCCGTTGTTGTTTGGGCTGTTGTTATGGTTGTTGTTGGCGTCTGCGTTGGTGTAGTTGCGGAGGAGGGCGGTGTTGAGCCAATTTGGGGCGGGCTGAAATGGGTGGTGGGGCTCCGTGGGCTTGGAGTTCGGGTCGGGTTGGTCGGATTGAAATGGCTGGTGCTGTTGCTGGGTTTGGTCTGTGAAGTGGTGGAGAGGAAGGTCCTGCTGAGAGAGGTGGTTGTGGTACGCCATGATCGATGATCAGCTGGGTATTAAAGTAATTGCAGAGACAGAGACAGAGGACACTCTGTTTCTCTGTGTTTTACAAATTAAAAAGGAGCAATTGTAGACGATGATTCTGAGGACATGGATATGAAAATTTAGAAGCTTTCTGAGAGTCTAAGAAGATAGGAGAGAGAGAGAGACAAGACAAAGATATATGGCTGGATTTGATTATATCTATCTCTCTGTAGAGAGAAACTACACGGTCTGTGTGTGTGTAGAAACTTAGAGAGAGAGAGAGAGAGAGAGAGAGATGCGAGCTTTTTTGAGTTTTGAGGAGAGAGAGATTGAAAGGGTTTAGTTAAAGCTTTGAGAGCTTATATATGGGATGGTACCAAAAACGTATATGAGGAAATTGAGGAGCTGTTTGGAGAGAGAGAGGTTTTTGGACAGAGTGGTTTTCAGGCAAGCAAAATGAGCTAGAGAAACTGCTTTAGCAAGAAAAAAAATGGTGGGATTTTGTGGCAGGTTTTAATATTAATTAAGGAGCAAAGGAGTCCAAGGGTCCCCTATTACTATTAAAAGAATATTTTATTATTATTATTTCACAATATGATATAGGAGTTGAAAAAATAGAAAATTCGGATCAAATAGTTGATTTTAGAATATAATGGTATTTTAATTTCTTTACAAAGAAAAATAATGGTATTTTTAATCTAATTAAGGGTGGCAAAGATTTCTTTAATTAAAAGCAAAATGTTTGGGTTGAATGAGTGAAATTTTATAAGACCACTTATTATTATTATTTTTTTCCAATTTAGCATAATATATGAGATTTACTATTCGGATAGGTTTTTTTTTTGACGGACTACTTGGGTAGTTGTCATCAATCCTCCTTTTACTTGATGGGAATAGTATTAGTCTCACCAAATTTTTATATTACATGATGTAACAGCAGATATATACATGTCATATCACCTAATTAATGTGATTAATACTTATTTATTTATCACATCATATAATATAGAAATATGAGATAAAAATATGGTAAGTATAGCATTACTTTAATTTTAATTTTAATAAAACTTAAAACCAGAAGTTAGCATAGGTAAAAAAGAACAAAAAGTAAAATAACTCAATGAAAATCTTGGCATATTATTATCGTTGATGGGGATTATTATCGTTGATGGGGATTAATTTAATAATCACTGATATGATGTTTACTTTTGTATGAAACCCCAATAAATAAAGATGATAAAGTTTTGTCCATTTGCGTAGACTTTTAAACATCCATAAATCGTATGCGATTTGAAATTAGATGAACTATTAGAATTGAATTAC